ATGTGATTATGGAATTCGAAACTGTTACATTATGTATGACAGTTATTTTGGCAGCGACTGTTATCAGTTCAGTCATCGCCCGGTGATGGCATAACCAATTTTCCAATTCATAGATGTGCCAGAAGCTAAACATCCTCTCAATGAACGAGAGGCAATTTCATATCCCTTGTTGGGCTTTATTTTTGAATTTGACATTCAAAATTTTACAATACAGTGGCGCAAAAACATTGAATATTTTATTGTGCACGTAATACGCACTACAATCAATAAGCTTCTGAAATTAAAATCACTAAAATCGTACGTTTCCACGGTTTCCTATACCCCTCCGCAACAGAAGGAGAATGATGAGCGCCGTTAAACCGTGCTTTTTGCTTTTACGATCATTTTCCAACCAATTGGTATAAACCGCTGAAGGTCGCGCTTAATACCATAAATTATCCTTGCATTCCAACATCTTGAAACAGGACAAATAATATCGGAAAGTAGTTTCACCGGATGACTCAATTTTTCGGCAGACGTACTACGGAAAATGGTTTTTGAGAAACGATAAATATTTGTGAAATGTTTATCACAAGTCAGTACAGAATGAATTGTTCTAAACCACGCTAAAATATTTCTACGCGGCCAGTCATAATGGGCATATCTTTTAGCTACCCAGAAAGTCAATAAAAGTAAATTAGATCTATTTACACAATAGCCTGTTGTGTTTACAGTTCACCACCTCATGTCGATATCATCGTCACATTGAGAGTGACCTAGCCCCATGCACACACGTACACACAAGAGCGCATACAGAAAACTATTACTGATGTTTCCCATATGTTCATCCACAACATGCTGGACTTTAACCTGGTAACCTGCAACCGACTTTTATGATTATTCTGATACAAGCTATTTCGGTCAAGCTGTGTGAGTCACCAATAAATCGAGCCATAAATCGTGTGAGTGAGCCTTACTAGAATCGCCTTACTTTCCCGTGAATTCTGCATCCCATGACAGATCACTGAGTAATCTTTTCGTTCTGGATCACTTTTTGTACACTTATGCGTTCGATAGAAAAGACAATGGGGTGAAAAAAGCAAGCCTATAAGGTTACTTCTGTGGAATTAATAGAAGCAGGTAAAATTGGCATAATGATTTTTCAATCCTTACTCAAAATTCACCTAACTGCATTTTATTTGCAGTGGTTCTACCCACACATATGTCCGGTTTATCCTTTAACTTCGATTAAATCTATATTTTGTCGTACCAGCAAACGTCTGCGACCATCTTAAGCATAAAACCTTATCAATGAAAACTTGTCAAATGTTGTTTACCATGCAGCGTCATTCTTCTTCCCAGTCAGTGTACAAGCTTTGTTGTCTTGAAAATTATACTTATTGGTTTCGATTACAATTTCCCGTTAATCTGCCATTAGTGTTCCTTACTGTTCACACCAACTGAATCATTGTAGTTTTTTCCTCAGCATTTCAAATCAGAAACAGTCTCCCTGATCGCGGTTGATGCACAATCGTTTGGTTGAAATCTATTCAGATATCTCCATCCTTAAACAACCTCCGTTCTCTACTTTACAGAGAAATGACGATTGAACAGATAGCACTAAGGTTTTCACAATCCCCGTAGCACAAATGAGGCTTAATCTTGCTTTAGCAACATGTCGATTCCAACGCGGTTGTTAAAGAGATTCACAATCATTGATCGCTAGCGAGTGTAAATAAACCTGAACATATTTAAACCTAAATGTTTGCCAGAAAGGTCCTGAATATCGACTCAAACCATTAGCAGTCGGGTTGTGTCTAATTGGGGTTGACCAGTTCATACAACAAACACCGTGTGTACAATAAAAGCATTATGGCAAATAGCCTTGCGCGCTTTGTTTTTACCGGTTCGATCGCACTCCATGTTAATATTTCTATCTTTACCTACTGAGTCCTCATAAACCAGACGCCAGTGATCGTCACTGGAGCTGTGAATTGGTTTTAAAAACCTACATGGCTTTATTCATTGATTGAGCAATCACTGACGGCTTCAGGCAGAATTATGCAGCTGTCTCTCATTTGTCTCACTTGTATGTGTCGTTAATAGACTTGTTGAGGTTGATTCGCCTATTCATTGCGAGTTAATTTCACTTCGATTAGACGGTCGTGCGTTAGAATCCCGCCATCACCCGTCTACTTTACTAATTGTTTCCCTTAGTAGAGCCTTTGGTTTATCAGACAGACTCCTCATAAACGCTAACTTCACCATTTCATTATCGACGAGTAAAAAGAAAAATCACACTTTATTGTCTTTCCTGTAAGCATAATATGATATTTTTACAACGTGACAGGGGGAGAATCTGATTGATTGGGCTCCAGTCAGAATTTTACTGAATGCAATCTGTGGGTTTCACCAGTTGACCTTACAATGCCATCAAGCGTCGCCACATAAACACTTATGCAAAGTACTAGAGATTCATCACTTTCCGAGACAGTCGATCTCGTTTATTATCATTATCAATGAACTGGACAAGCATTTGAAAACGATTTGCATCAGTGCCTAGTTTTTATGCCACCACTCAGTAAACTAACGTCACGATGTTATGCTCAGATAAGTGAACCCATAACACCTCATACAGAATCATTGCAATGATTCTTCGAAGATTTTTTGGCTCGCATGCGCTTCATGAACTGCACTGAGATTTTTGTTAACTATATATAGATATATATCTTCATACTTTCATACGTTCATGTTCGGACAGCGATCCAATGGCACATATTTGAGGAGTGATTTTGTTCTTACATGGTTATTTCAACCCAGAAGTTACCCGGCACCCAACAACACAAAAGTCTGTTTCATAAACAGACCTAGTTTCATTGGAATTCAGTGGACATAATATTTTGAAAGCATTGATAGTCTGTCAAAACCACTGATCGGTTTACAGCAATTGAGGTCAATGTGAGGTTGTGGATAAGACTGTATGAAGCTTAAGCTAATCTACTACTGCAACCTCATAACTTTCATTAATTTGAGCAAATCTAATTGAAATCGGACACATGCATTTTTGTTCTTGCTCAGTATCTGTTAGCTATTTTCGGAGCGCTAGAGTTATTCACTCGAGTAATCCGCACTTCGAGCACGTGGATTACTAAGTTTGGTAAACCTAGCGTCTTGTTTGAGGTTTGAACTGAAGTCTTGGTCTTGATGCGTAACGACACAGGCGTTTGCATGATATCAATCGAACATTATCCTTAGGTAAGGGACGTTGTTATCGATTGGTTAGAGTTGTCTATGTTGGATACCAAGTACGTGATTGTCAATAGTCGGTTCGCGAATTCTCGGCATTCGAAACCCGAACCGTCATGCAATGAGCCTTCCAGTGCAGAAATAATAGCATACAAACGATGGGGAAAGGTGGTACTCCAAGATACTGTAACCCATGCTGTACAAGTGATTGACGGTGTAGAGTCTCTGATTTGCCAAATCAGATGGACTCGTCTGATGATGACACTGCGATTCTGACTCTGTCTCCATGAAGCCTACCGATATTTTTATTTTAGCAACAAACATCATTGAACCTTGAAAAATTGCTTATTACAGACAAAGCTCTTTCGACTGTCGTTTAGCGATCCTAAGTGATGATGTTTGCAACTCATGATGCGTTGAAAGTGAAAAATAGAAAATCACTTCAATTATGGCGTATTTACGTATTTGATACAGTGCTTTTAACTTTTCGTTCGAATTTTAAAATACGTCCATTTTTACTTGTTCACAAATATTCTGGTTTGTCACTGTTAAAAGTCCCAGTCAGCATTTGGAAGAATCGGCCATTTATCGTCCCTGAATGGCAGTGCTTCGTTTCCACATGATTCATTTGCTGTCTTAACTCGCGCACTGAGCAGATTTGTAAGAACATGGGTGTGACATAAAGCAATGCATTTCTATTATAGAGGATTATTGCTCATAATGATTCGCAGTTACCCCGAAACTTTCACTTAAAGGTTTCTCCTACACTAATATCATTTCGCTGATTCAAATATGTTATCTATCAGATTCAGCGGAATGATGGAAATAAAAGACGTAATGTCACATTTGAGCGCTGCATTCTCAAAAGCTGTAAACTTTGAATTTTACGCCTGTTCTCTCTACATACCTAGTGTCAGAAAGCTTGAATTGTCAGTGAGCAGTCTAAGAGAAATTTGCGATCAAATTTGTTTTTATTTCAACAATTTTTTGTACGCGTTTCTGTAAAAGCTTTGACAAACTGTTAAAAGGGCAGATTTCAGGAAAGCCGCTTCCTGTTGATGTTTTGAATGAGCTGTAGTTGACTCCGTGATAATGGCAGAATACTTTATATCTATTTGGCATTTTGTAAATTAACCTGATGAATAAGCGATTCGTCCCCTGAAATCACTCCTCTACTCCTGATGGTGCTTTTATACGCAAGTTATTAGGGTAACATTAGATGTGATGTGGCACCAGGATACGGGAATACTCTACATATTTATAGAAACCGCTACTCTTGCAAAACACGTAAAGTGGAGAATACCATAAGCTATCGATTGATCTAGGGGCAGTCTAGAACCGAAAATGGCAGTGCTCGAGCCCAAGTACTTTTGGGGCAGTGTACCCCGGCAATTGACTTGAACTAAGTGGCTCACATCCCAAATAAGAGTGAAACGTTGATATATTCCACCATAAAGAACCTTACACAATATTTCGAGAATGATTACAGTTGGTGATGGAAAGGAAATTATTGGAGAAGTATCACTCTTCATCACATTGTTTGAAGGAATATAATTCACTCACTTTAGGATAACCTATTTCATTTGAAAAGAACCTTTGTTTGGTATTCGGTTTACTTTAACTAAACTCGTAGAGGTTTATTGCACTTTGTTCTTATGTCTTTACTCATTCAGTATGGTAAACAATGTTACTGGTGTCATTTATAACATTTACTTTTCTGTGATAGGCTTCATTTTTCTGTTGGTTACACCTTTCCCCATATAATTCAGACTCACCTTTTCGTCTGACATCAGGACTTGTGCTAATGGAGCGCTGTTTTAGCACGCATATTGTGATCACAATCACCAGTATAAGCAGTGCAAAAAAAGTAGATAATGAAATTATCAGGATTTCTGCAGTGGACAGTCCACCGGCCCATGGACCACCGGCACCTCCCCCAATACCGAATCCGAGATAGCCATCACTGCGCGTACCAGCACCGTTGGCTAGTTGCAGAGGGCCGGCCAAACCAGCGGCTCCGTCGATGAGAAGCTGTCCAGTGGTTGGATCCATTGTCAGGTCATTTGGAACTCGGAGCTGAAAACAAAAGGTGAGCGATTTTTTCCTGGATGAATTACCGTTTTACCCTCTTCTATCAGTGACGAAGGATAACCCTGCATGTGCATATGAACCCTTTTAATAAAATAAACCATAATCTTTGTGTGCACACCGTTAGCAAATCAGCTTAATAATCCTCATTCGACAACATAAGAGCACTCACACAATACTATTATTTTCATCGAGGTAAATTTTTTGACAGTTATTCCACGATAAATTTAATATATTCAAATGTCTCAAAAATACAGCAGCAAATCGCTTCTTTGAAACTGTACATTTTTTCTTTCCGATTGCTTTAGCAAATTTATATTTTTCGGCTGTTGAAGACAAAATGCTTCTACGGGAAAATGTGAAATGTTTCTAACGAGATTCATGATTCGTTGACCTCTCAAAAACGGAAGTAACATTTACCTTGAATGCAAGACTACTAAGAGCTGCTTCAACGATTTTGAGGAAAAGAGTTGTGCAAATGTTTTCAAGGAACAATAGTATGAATCAAGAATGGTCTTTAAAAGGGGGCATGGCCCCAACGTTTAACAGTGCGCTACTACCTGTTGGTTTCACCAAGAACTGCAGACAGCGATTACATCTATGAAGACGTCATTGTTTGTCATTAGTTACAACGGAAACATCACAATGATGATTTCTGCCAACCATAACGCATTTTATGTCTGGGAAGCACAAACCAATATATTTTGAACTTGAACACTCACCGTGGATTTTAAACAGGCAAAAACTGTGATTTGTATAGTTTGACCTGGTCTCATTTTATACTACGTTTTGTGATTATGTTCTATACATCTCTCAGTCATCGTCTTCTATAAAGACGTCTAACTCATTTTTTAATAGTAAAAACCACATTACCTCTAGGGTAATTTTATTAAACTTTGGTGTGACACCAATGCATATAGCCATCATTGATAGAGTCAGCTTAATTTGAAGTGTGACGTTTGACTTCATCCGTTTAAATAAATCATGTGAAGATTTGTCTTCTTGGAATAATCTGAGAATTTCCATGAGCAGTACATATGGCTAATATTTGTAGCGAACGATCATTAGTTCAGAGTATATTTAATTCATTACAATAGCTTTCATTATTTTCCTCATTTTATTGCGCCATATCTTTTTGACGAATTCGGTGTTAACACTGAACGTTATAGGCAAAGCTGTAGGTGACGTGAAGTGATTTAATGTATCACCCAGAGGTCTGATTGCCTTACTTTTGAATGATTTCTGTGATTTTCCTATTGTATAAAGCTATGTCCCTGAGAAATTAGGGCAGGTTAAATTCAATGTTGCAAGACGAATGAGTGACTGGTGTCGATTCGAGGTCACAGACATAAGCGCTACCGTCCCGCACACTTCCATTAGCCCTCGAGATTCAATCGCGCGTTAGGAAAAGAGCAACTGAGGTCAGGGATAATGTCAATTTTGACTATTTACTACAATAGACCACTGAATGATCATAGACCCATCACTTCTAGTAAATGATACAAATGGACCAGTTACAATGATTTTAGGATATGGTATGCCAATAGTTTTAAAGTAGAAATTATTGAAAACCAAAATATAAAAAATTTAAAGGGAGATATCTTTCATCTTGTCGGTATCTGGTCTACTGAGACAGTAGTGGGTGTGGTGGCATTGTAAGCGGAGTCTTAAGGTTAACAAATGTCAGATTGCAGTTTCAGTTCCTTAGTTTATCGCCTACTGAACAGAGTCGGAAGCCATTAATTTATTCGTGATACCAATAAACCTATTGACCTCCAGTGTAGTAAAAACTGATTTGAGAATTCGCGTATGAAACAGTTGAAGAATCGAAAACAATGTGGTTGCCATTGGAGATTATGTGTGAAAATAGAACTGCCTTAAAGAAGGAAACCACCCTCTCTCACAAAGCGTATGTTCACCTCAGAGGAAATCGAATACACCAGACAGTAGGTTGTGATTGCGTTTCGCACAACGCATTTCTTTGAGGTACACTGCACAAATGAATTAATCACGAACAGCTAATGAAAGTTTACGAGTGTTGGAATTTTCCATGAGAAACAATAAATTTCTTCAACCAGATTTTGAGAAATATGAGATGTTCTCACCATCTGAAAATGCTTTTTCTGTAAATCAAAAGCAGATTGTGAATCAGTGAAACACAAACAACTGGCATTTTGTTCACGGGTAAAATGACACTTTCTTGTGTACCACAAATACCTCAAAATATGTTACGAGGGAAAAGGTGTACCGAGATCTGAATGCATAACGATTCGTTTCAATTCAACTCAATTCTGTCTAGTGAGGTTCTTCGCATCGATGACGCTGTTCAGCTGTGTGAGAAACTAACAGATTTCAACACTTATCAACACCTCATGGGTAAAATAAAGCAAATTTGAAATGTCCTTTTTTCTTTCGCTTAGAGTAGGATTAAATCATACACAAGCTCAATGATTGGGGCTCTGCTCTGGTTAATGTAATTAACCATCTTAGCTTTATGTCCGTTTGATTACTGAATCCGATTGTTTCAGCAAATAGTAAAATAATATTTTGGGATTAGCATATAATTTCATAAATCGAATTACTTGGTTTCAGATCATGTAAAACTATTGGCTATTATCATAAATGAACAACTCACCTGAATCTGTAAGTTCGGAAAATGTGTACATCGGCTTGGCTGCCCTTGGTCACAAGCTTCCAGTGCGAGCAAGTATGTTGGTTGTGTTGGTGCTTGGTCTGATGCGCCAGTGCCGTGTGCGCCAGATCCAGCTATACTGACAAAAGCATCAGAACCTGCATTGGCGGACTGAGAGGAAGAAATAGCCGCAGCCGCGGCCGCGGCAGATGCTGCTGCTGCGGCTGCCGCGGTAGCCTCAGCTATCGTGCGGCGTGGGATTTGATTCTCCAAATACAATAACCCTGTACGTGGATCCACATTGAACAAATTCCCTGCATTCCCTCCACGAATCGCGTATGTCACGTGTCCATTTGGGCCTTCGTCCGGATCAACAGCGTGAAGCTAATCAATGCAAGAAGAGAGTAAAATATGAACGGTACGCACAATGAATGAACAATGAACAAAATCGGAAATACTGTTGAAGCAAAGCGCACTCTAGTAATGTCCAACGGGATAACAAATGAATATCAAGCACTCATAGCCGTAAACTCATTAGAATTCTCCCACACGCATTTACTCACTCTTTATCTTTGCTTCAACTTGCAAGCAATCCGATTAGATGTACTGCGGATGAGGTCAGTACCGTTTTTTCATATGGTTACTAAATATTAGGACACTTCTGAGATCTCTGTTCGTTAGTTCTTCTTGATTGCATCTTTGCTTCTAAGTCGGTCCTCCAATGCCTAACTCGATGAATAATTTGCGATGACCAACAAAGAGCACTGGACAGTTGTTCCGTATTGTTTGGGACTCGTCAGCAGTGCATACCTTTTGTGTCCCTGTGAGGACTCGAACCGAGAACAATCGGATCGGAAAGTCAAATCCTTACCTCTGAGCTACTCAGCTATCACTTTGTGCGACCGGTTTAATCAGTTGGAAGCAGTAACTTTGGAATAATCCATTCGATTGTTCTCACGTAGGCATTGTTGATGGTATTTGGGTATTTAACGATCTCCCAGAGACTGAAAACAATCCTCAAGACCATCAACAGTGCCTGGTGCATGCTTTTACAAACAAATGGACTATTCCAAATTTACTTCTCTTATCCTCACAACCTCTAGCTGTGATCGATTCATATAACGTGTAACGGCGTGAAATGAAAACAATTGTTCGCTTGAAATTGTGTCCTAAACCATTATGTGATTGAGAACAACATCATGGCTAATTCGCCCGTTTTCATAAAAATAACAACTAGAACAAAAGGAGAGGGGAAATTCCGGTTTTAATGGTTCAGATCTGACATTTTATGTGTGTACATGTGTTTATGTGAAATTGATCGGTTTCAAAAGTTCAAGTGTTGGGGTGGATGGAACGAACCAGGGGACGTTAAGTACTCACACGACTTTCTTCAGAAACACAATGGGAGGAGAGATTGTTAATCCGAATACTTAGAGCTTTTGCCATGGGTACTATACTAGGCCTCATTGCCCCTGTTTGCCTACTTTGTAAATCGCCCCAAGTGCGCTTACCACCATCACCGAGCGATTTAACTGAACGAGGTGTGAACACCAGACTCGTAGTCGTCATAATTGTTCCTATCCTTCAGCCAAGTCGGGTGGTGTTCACTAAATCGATCGCTGAGGCATTTGGTTTTCCTGTCAGTGTAGCCAATCTCACAGGATAAGGCGAATAGGCATGCACAGTATGAGGCTCCAGAACCTGGCACTCTGTCCTACAGTCAAAAATGTGATTGGTTTAGATGTAAATACAGCTTTTACTCGGGCAGCGTGGGATGTTCTGCTTACTGCACCCGAGGACTTTCTATGGATGATTTCCACCGGTGTATCTCCCTTGAACGATGGATGCACATATACAGACTTTCTAACAGCTCCTATTTCCTTTGGCCACTACTGATATCGTAGGATTGCCTTAGGAATGAATCCTTCTGCTTAGTCATTTTGAGTAAGAATTAGGAATTAGGAATTTAAGAGCAGTATCATTGGTATCTACTCTACATGCTTTCTTCGCTCCATTAACCAAACAACAAACTTGATTTACTCTCCTTTGAAGAGTGCTAAAACTATAAAAAGGAATTCACTGTCCATTCCACATTACTCCGATAACGGGACGGAGCTACCTCTACGGTGGCTTATAGAAAAGCCAGACTGCCTTCTGTTTGTGTTTCTGTAGAGTGATACAGAGTAAATTCTACGTTCGAATGAACTTTGTTGAACTCCTCAAGCAGCCGATTGGGTGGTTATCATATCAAAGTCGATGAAAGTTTGCAAAATTGGTGCTCAATAACACCACACAACTCGTCTCAACCCTTATCTGCATACAACTTACATCCATTCATATGGTGTTCCATTCCTGCGTAAACGTGACTCAAATATATCATGTTCTGCTGATGTTTCGGTCAGCACGGAAAAACTCACAGGCCAGTTTCGTAAGAAACTGAGTGGCGAAAAACCTTTGTTGTTGGTTATTCTGTTACTTTTTGTGTCACTTATTGCTTAGTTTATACCACTATCTACGTCAGTGATATGTTCTGGTTCATTCTTGACTGTCATATCAGTTTTTACCTGAAGAGGTTTCAGCATAAAAGCAACGACAATTTTTCGGGGCCCCGCCTGTTACCCTTTGACATCTGAAGCGTATCCGTGCAACGTAATTTCCATTGAAGCTTTACTTTAACAAATCTTCTTGAATGAAATTATGGATTATTTTCTTCTTCTATGTGCATCCTGCTTTCCAATTATTTATAATAAGGTTGCATTTCATAAATACTTATGGTAAAATTTTGAGGTACAAGCCTACTCCCTTCTCTAAAAATATTGCATCTTGTTGAGTTTCTTTTTGTTTTCACTGGGTGAAGTAGATTTTCATTAGTTTACCTGTGGAAATATGCTAATCATTGACCAGTAGTTGTGTTTTAATCATTTTATTTTCTTATATTGAATGAATTCGGATAGATAATTCGGAAAGTAATGTCGTAAAAGAGACTGAGAAGAATTGATGAATTTAATTGAGTAGAATGCCAACAGAGCAGCATGTAAGATACCATTGATAGTTTATCGGCCTGCACATCACCAAACAATCAAGTCCTAATCAACACATGAATTTTCAGCTCGCTTACAGATGACCAATATGGCAGCAAAAGCTCTCGACACCTTTGACTCCGTCGTTTGAGTTGGTTACCCTGGGTGTTCGAGAGAATTTCGCAACTGTCCGGTTGGTCCTCCTTCTATGTTGTATAGGTGGATAACGACTTACAAAGAAGACTAAAAACATATCGGTATAGTTTGAACATCGCTGTCTTCGCTGCAGCCAGAAAAGTAATATCCTGGTCTAGTGCATAGTTTTATCTATTCTTGGTTGAGCGCTGAAAGAAGTCCTTGGGTTACGGTGACAGGGGCAAGTGTTAATTATGCCACCAAATGGGCTTTCTATGTTTGCTACGCTTGCCTAGACAGATAGAGGGGAAAGGAAACCTGAAAGTGACCCGGTGTGACGGCGTGGGAAGCATGAACAGGACTCTCGGTTTTATCGATCCCTGGAATCTTTCTGCTTGAGGCTGCGTGATCAACTTAATGAAAATAAGCTTTTTATGATATGGCTGAATTTCATAAGCAATGAAGCTCCTGCAACTGCGTATTCATGATGCCTTTATGTTTCGATTCTTCGACATATTTTATCCTCGCTCGATGTGAACAACTAAAGCTGTCGGCAGTACAAGGTTACCTTTTGCGAAAACGGAAGCCCTGGTCCCTTTCAGATGATGTGATTCGATAGAAGTTTGCTGGAGTCGGATTGGATATTGACGGGCTTATCAACACTGTTGTAGGGTTCACTTAATTGGAACTGTTAAATTCTAATGAGGTTGCGATAATTAGAACAGAATTAAACTGTTTACACTGTGATCTGTCTGAACATCAAAACAGTTGTGTGCATTCTATTTCTCTCCTCACTTCGGTGGACAAAGGGTTCAAAGATTGACCTTGTTCACTCAATGGATTTTACCGGCTTGCCATTTCAGATAGCACTTTGATTATCTTTAGTTTGCTTCAACACGGGTACCATTCCAATACGTTCAAGTATGGTAACTAATGAAGCAGAGAACTTTTCAATGCGTTGACTAGCATGATATCGATTAAGTAGTACTACAGTACAACTGCGTTTTCCACAGAATGTATTTCAAATAAATGAACAATTTTGCTGGATAAATTTAAATTTGTTTCACACTGAAATGATATTCCTACTCAATTCCGCACCAACGGAATATATCCAGACAATTGATGATACCTGTTCACAATGCCATCTGTCCGAGAGTCTCTCACCTCCATTCTTCTCCAATCAGCCTCAAAAGCTAGCCATTGTGCCTTTGAACAACTTCAATCTAATTTAATCTAATTCAATAGGAAGGATGTGTATTTTTGCGCTACAACTGTCGTCTTTCTAGGTTTATCGATTGCAATTCTGTGATCGAAGTATTCGATGACAGTTGCTCGCACTTTAACCAATTGTGATTACTTTGAATTCGGCTGGTTGAGAAAACGTTTTTCTCTCTGTCTCACCCTGTCACCCTTGAGGCTATCAAAAAAATGGATATACGCTGCCCACTTGAAGCAGTCTTTCGGAATAATGCAGATTTAATGAAATTTTCCAAATTGATTGAGTCCAAAACTAAATTGTTGTGAACCACGTCTCGATTTCAGAAGACCTTGTGGTGCGACTTTTCTCAACGCAGTGGAGCACAGAAAATAAACGCAGCCCAGGTGTGTGTGTGTGTGCAAAATTACTGAGATTTGGAGAACTTTTGCTTCACTATTGCTATATGATCAACATTTATTAAAAAAATTAGTTTTTTGTCTGAATATTTTTCCCTACGACGATCCATCGATTCGCCCAACTTTTTGAGTAATCCCATTTACGAACAGATTACTCCGAAGATTACTTCTTGGGCACCTGCTCTCAGTGATTTTGCAAACGGCAAACGGTCTTAACTTGCATTCTAAACTTTAATTGTATATAACTTTCTTAATTTGACTCACTGAATGCAGTGAGATATGTCACCTTTTTATTAATTCTCTTACTTTTTATTTGTGATTGGCAGAGCGCAATGGCTTTCAAGACTGTTCACTTATCCTCCGTGATAATCCATCTCCCCCATCGCTGATTGAACTCCGTAACTTGCACCCTCTTAATTGTCAGAAACGTTATTAGACTGGTTGGATGTGATAAAATGAATTAAACTAATGGAGGTGTTCGGTCAGCGGATAACCTCATTCATGTTAGCTTTAGCCTCCAGCGGTTTTCCCAAATTTTCATTGATTTGTAGTTACTCTACCTCCGACTCTTAGCTGAGTCATAAAAGTTAATTGATTGGGAAAGTTATCCGATACTATCCTTCAGAGGTTTGGGATGCGTCTGTTACATGAGTTATTAAATGTAGGACGAAAGATAGAAACCCACTTCCATAGGTACTTGATCTGCTACTTCAGTAGTTTTTCCAGAGCTACCTGGTTTCCTACTACAGCACGCAGTATTTCTGGTCCGACCATGATAGGATACACAGGTATCTAGTTTCGAGCGGGTGAGTTATTCTAATCTCCTACAATACCTTGTTCTTCTTTGGTTTTCAATTTGCATCGCCCTATTGCTTGTCAGTTTTACTATGTCTACCCTTTGTATTCCAAACAGAATACTCTCCTGTCTGCGGTTCACTCTTGTTCTACAAATATGCACTTACTTGTAGGAGACTCTGACCGGGAATAGCAGCCGGGTCCAATAAAACCATGTGATTAGTGGAGTTTGGCCGAACGAAGACCGGGTCATTGTCATTCTCGTCCTCCACAGTCACCGTGACCAGAATTGAGACCAGATGAGATCTTTCGGAACGTCGACGTACCGACTGCGAGTTTGGCTCATTCAGCGAGCCAAATGAGTTTCCCGCACGCAAAGGTCCGTCTCGAACAGTGACGTGGAACGTATATGAGGCTTGTTTCTCACGGTCCAATTGGATGCTGGGCAACATATATGATTAAGCGCAAGATTGAAGTGTTATTACTTTCTTCCAGAACCAGAATCTATAAAACATCAATCCGGAAATCGTGAGAATCCAAGCGTTCAAGATTTATGGTTTCCGTCTCAAATAGTGCGGTCTGCATCAAAAGCCAACCAGTGTATGGACGAATTAAGGCGCAGTGATCACGCTCTGTCTCATGAAGAACAGTTATGTTATGTGTGCAAATATTTCAAATATCATCGTCAGCTAGGGGATCAAACTTTGACTAACAACCAACAGGTTCCTTTTGTTGTAAAGCCATGACAATCTACGGACTATATTTTCTAGACAAAATCTTTGATTTGGAGATGTGACACAATTCTGCATGTTGGTTTGCCATCCATCAGCATGACAAGCGAGGGGGAAAGCTCTTATCCAAACACATTTTACAACGCAAATACGTCGTTTGGCATAAACCATAAACGAATTTGTCCGGAACTCATGGATATAAACGTTAATTTTCAAAAATCCAAGGAATTAGTAAGAGTTTGGTCGATTCATGTAGTAAGATAGTTTGATACCATACTGTAAGAGGGGGTGACAATTACATTAGTGTTTTACATTTACAACTCTATCTGACTGCGATGAAAATATTTTTGAGGACCGACAAGGAGCGCTATGAAAATGTTTCTTCCTGTTTGGGACTCGTCAGCAGCGTGTACCGTTTGTGTCCCTGCCAAGATTCAAATTCAAACATTAAACTCTAAATTGAAACTTAATCGCTTATGCTGACATTTCTAGTTTCTTGATAATTTGAATGTCATCTGAAGCGAGTGGCATTAAAAAAAACCTCAAATTATTTATTTACTTCAAGGGATTGAAATACTTTTATTGCTTACTTTATTCTCAATTGCATGCCGGGATATACTCTACTTTCTTGAATTTATTTCAGCTCGTATTAAACAGCACACAGTTCCGATTTGGAATCCCTCACAGAAGCCGGAAATGTTTTGAGAGGTAAATAAATGAAGCTGTTCAGTAACCGATAGCCAAAATATTTTGATTTATTTTCCTGCTCTTGAACTGTAGAGTGTCTTAGTGATTCCGACATTTGTATATAACTTTACCCGTGGGTACATCCAGAAAAGCTGTACCCAGAAGAGTAATGATTTCTGTAAGCTCACTATTAGAATATAATTAATCCCACATAGTTAAATTATCATAGATACTATTTGACGCTTTTGGACCTTGTTTGCTGTTAACACATTACACTCTACCTCTGTTCAAGTCACAGTTCGCCAAACATGCACACCAAGTTCATCAATAGGTTTGATTTCAACGATCATTATGACGTGAGTGCTATCTCCAAAATATGTGTTACAGGTCTTTCGTATGCAATGCATGTTTTGGATTTTAGACCGAACTCCAATAATCAAAACCAAAGGTCATAATTTCAAACGAACGTACAGATGCACATTAAGTTGGGAGCAACATCTTTTTAGATGAGAAACTTTTCTGACTGTCATTCGGGCAAATTTATCTAGGTAGTTGTGACAGTTAAATTTTTAAAGCTTCACCTCAACCTCCTACTGAACACCGAGCTGCACAATGCTGATCAAGATCACGTCGCTAACGGACACACCTCTGAATGTAAATCCATTTTACTTCGTGAAAACAATGAAGGCAGTTTCACCGACACGTTCTGAAATTAACTATTTTCGTGACAACTCAAGTGGCGCTACTGAAATTCTTCTATCACCTTCAAAAAGAATGAATCTCAGATGGCATGTGATGACCTATCTCAGGCTAAGCCGTTTGCATAGTTTGTAGAAATCACTTAATCACGATGTCATACGAGATTCTCCAACTTGACATGATAAATGATCACATGGAGGACGTGGTACTACGTTTACGGTCGGCAATAATAAATACGAAACGGTATGACTGCTTTACCAGACTATTTTCGTGCTAGTGCCTCACGCAAATCGTTCATTTCCGGAATCATTTCAAACTGTCAAAATATGAATAGCATTTCGTTCCTACACACTTTTCTCCAACCCTTCACTTCCTGTCCTACCACGCACGAATTTACATCCGTGTTTGTGTGTGTGCGTGCATACGTGCATGTGTGCGTGCGTATGTGGGTGCAATTTGAATCACTCAGTACATTACAGTGATCTCTCACTTCCTGTTCACGTGAAAGCATTATTGATTGCTGATAAAGGTGCCAAATGTATACAAAGTATACACCATGTCTTGATTGTTGTCATGATCATTGTCGACAAACCAAATGTGACACCCCAAAACAGGATAAACTAGTGAATCACAACCTTAAAAATGACCCCGCCTCGAACCGAATTCTCTCGTTTCACCTGATTGATCTTGTAAGCCCGCAATCCAGTGTTCATTGTGCCGGCTAGATACACAACCATTTTCTAGGCAGTGCAAC